ACATGTACGCTGGGCGTACGCAACGTCATTGCATGCGTATGTTCTCAAGTGACGTCATTGCATTCGTAGCTGAGGTGGTTCACGGGTACGCTAGGCGTACCCCAAAATTACGCTGCGCGTACTCGATTAAGCAAATTTCAAACTTGCGTAACTTTCTCATATGAGCTCCGTTTTCGATGTTCTTTATATCCACGCGTAGGTGAGACTACGCTCTACAACTTTCGTTTAGACTCCATCGACTAAATATCGCTCTAACGTAAATTTCACTTTTTATGTCATTCAGCGTTGCCGGTTCTGTCGCGAAACTTCGACAGGTCATAACTTTTTCGTTATAACTCGGATTTCGGCATTCGTTATATCTTCAGAATCCTTTTTTCAACCATTACATCTTTATGCAAAGATATCAGACTTATCTCACACTTTAAATTTGACGCTTATTTTATTCTTAATTCATTAAATTATAATAATTAAGAAAATAAACACATAATTCACATAATAATCAAATATTTCATCATTAATACTCAAAAAAAAAAAGTTACAAGGGTTAACCTAGACTATTACATCAATGATAATGCTTAGCTTGGAAACACGGGCGTTACACTTACCAAGACCCGTCCACAAGCAATAGCGTTTTTCTTTTCTTTTATTATTATTTTTTTTCTCTCTGTTGGAAGCACTACTATTGTCCTTTTCTTCATCTTTGCAAGGATAAAAAATCTTGACAATCTTCCTTCATTGTTGCCATCATATTCAATCTAAACCCAATTCTATGGATTCTCAAGGGGGGTATAAATGAAAGGGGCGCCCGTTGAGGGGGAACTCTTTCTCCCTAAGAATGCATCTTGCCTCTTGAAATGAAACAATTTTCTTAGGTTCATAACAAAAATAAAAGCTTATTAGACTAAAGTGCATAAATGGTATTTTATTTAATTTAAAGAAATCAAGAGTTCAACTTCCAAATGCACATAAATACAATACCAAATCCTTACCTACGCTTTAAACTTTCAGATTCATCGCATGAAAAGATTAGACAATACTAAATCAGAAAAAATCTTGCAAGCAAAATTATTATATGTAAGAATTTGAAAATATGGAAGGCTATAATTATGGATTTTAACTTGATAAATAAAAATTATTAATAAAAGTTAATAAATTAATAAGATAAGATTGTATAATTATACCATTTCTCTTTCAACTTTTTCCTATCTTTGATTCTTGTTCCCCATTTCCCCTGTTAAGAAATCAAATTTTTAAGATTCAATATTAGGCCATCATATTGAATTAAGTCCAGATCCAAACCCAAATCTTTAAGATTCTGAATAAAAAAAGAAGATTTTTTTTTTTTTTGACAAATCAAGGGTGGGGGTTCATCACCGTAGAAGTTGTGCGAGGCGAGGGTAGATAATGCTTGGAGACAATATTAAGAGGCGGTTGGTGGTGTAATTACATAAAATGGGTTATGGTTAGCCCAATTAAATCCTTCCCTAAATATTAAATATAATAAGACAACATCCAGTAAACTATGATATACAAACAAACTGATATGAATCATATGGAATCTAAACAATAGAGAAGAGATTGAGCCTTGAAGTGCTTGAGTACTTAGCAATTAGCATCTTCTCCATCTGTTGGAGCTTTATTAGTAGAAGAAGTCCAATTTCTTTCACTTGTAACAATAAGAAATGGATATTATAATTTAATAATCCACTCATACATGTCAACATAAAAAGACTGATGCAACCAGCTAGGTCAAGGATTTAGTAAAAAGGATCAATGTCCCGAGGGAAACACTAAAAAGTTGTTGAAGTCTTGGCTCTAACAACTACCGCATGTATTTTAAGTATTTGTTTTGTCAACACATGAAAAAATTTATAATAACTAACTAACTAAGTAAAAGGATCCTCTAGCTTAAACCAAAATCATGTCAGCATGTAAAAACAAATTTATTCCAATAACTTAAACCAAATCAATCACAAACAGTGTTTAGTTTGATGAAATGTAATGAAGAAATAAAAAGAATCATAAAACTTGGTAATTGGAGCACCAATCCCTATATTGTATTACAATTCGAAAGTAAACTTGGAAACATAAAATGAATCACTAACCAATGGAAGGGAAGGCAAAATGGCATGATTACAAATAATTTTGAATTTCATAGTTCTCGTGACATTTTATCGAACACCTACAATGCGTGAAAAAACGCTATATTGTGGGTATCAAAATTTCAAAAAGATTGTATTTAAGAGTATAAATATTCTTAAACCTTCAGAATTTCAAGATACCTAAAAAAGTTTTGCCGGAAAAAGTTTTGCGAGTGATGGATCGTGGTGGGTTCTCGTTGCCGGAAAAAGTTTTGCGAGAGTACATAATTGGTGGAGACGGCGATAAAAAATGGCGGGTGGTGCAAGGTTGGAGAGTGGGTGGTGGTTCACTGCCGATGGTGGTGAGGATGATGATATGGGGGGATCGAGTTAGGGTTTTTGATATTTGCTCAAGGGAAAAAGTGAGTGTAGAGGGAAACATTATGTTTAATTTATTATATTTCTAAAACGTCAATGCTGAATGACTCTTACTTTCTGAAACAAAAACGGAATATGTGTATTGATTAGAAAGCATTAAATGGTTGTACATGATGTAGCATGTGTGGTACCTCTTAAATTTCAAGAAATATCAAATATGTTTTATATATATACTAGTCGTTCACCCGCGCCAAGCGACGGGTACGAATAGTTTATTTCGGAAATTATTCTATTCGAAAACATGTATGATTCGGTAATTAGTTTCTATTCGGCGGACAATAATTACTTTCAATTAAACGATTATTTTGTTTTAAGAAACATGTCATATTAAAAATAAGACTTAACATAATGGGAAGTATAAGCAAACATTATTTTCAATTAGCGATTTTGGAACAATAGGACCAAACATTAATGCTAATTCAACGATTTCTTTAATGTATACGGAACCAAAATGGAACATGTTGACCGCGACTTAATTGACATAAGTATCTTTTCGGGATAAAAAATTAAAGTGTGTTTTGGTTTGGGTTACAAAAAGTAAAATATGTTGTGGTAAAAATTATGCTAATCAATTTAAATATTTTTTAAAATTCAAGTATGTTTTGGGTTTAGCATTTATAGTTTAGGGTAAGGTTGTTGTTTAGTGTTTAAGAATTGTGAATTTGGGTTTACAAGATACTTTAAAGGGTTTATTAGGAGGTAGTGTGCCCGACCTTACGGTCTCCCATTTTAAAAAAAAAAAACACATTTCGGATAAAAAACGTAATGATTTTCAGGCTAATTGAATTGGTTTTTTGGACTTTTTTTAGTTTGGTTAAAGAAAGTCCGTTCAATTTTCTGGTTCGATTATAGTTAGTGTTTTTTTTTGTCATGGATGTTAATCAAAAAATTTTTCTACATATTATTCTAGTTTGATTAAGTTTGTATTTTAGATTTGATGAATATTTCATAAATATTTAAGATTTGTTTATTAATTAACTTGGTAATTTGAATTGTTATTATTAATTAGTATACCATAAAATTGTTGAATTAGTTAAGAAACACATTTAACAAAGATAACTCATTAGTTTTACCAAAAGATTTGTTTCGGGCGAGGTTCAAACCATAGCATCTTTCTTTCATAAAATTGAACATGTATAATTTTTGTTAACATATATTTTTTTGGTTTTACTCTCAATAGCATTGTATTTAGATCTATTTACCCCTAAATAGCAATATAATTTATTGATTATTACCGATTTTAGTCCATGAATAAATTTACGTGATTTTCTGTCCTCGGAAAATTTTACACACTTTCCTTTTTAATAACTTTTTGAAAATAAACATAGCATTGTACCTTTGAAATGGTCACATTAGGGCATCCTACTTTGAATTATCTATAAAAATATGTTCTTATTTCCCAAAATAATTAAAAAGCACATTGCTAACTTCTAATACACAGACCATTTTCTGAAGAAAAAAAAAATAAAAAAAGAACTAAGTGGGAAATATGAAAATAATATCTTTCACATCGTATTCCTTTAAATCTGTTGTAGATGCTATAATTAAGAAATCATTGAAAGTAATTTGCCATTTTTCTTGCATTTAGCCTTAATAAAAACATTTTTCTAATAACCAAAATAAAACAAAATTAAGAGACAAAAGAGAAATATGTAAAAAGAATTATTATTATTATTGTTCATAAATTAGCAAAACCTTCATAATTATGGGAAAAACTCTTCTGCACCACGTATTAAAGCAGCACAAGTTTGCACCTTCCATGGACTTCAACCAACTTCTAAACTATGATAAGTTTTTGTTTAACGCTTCTTGAGCTTTCACTGCAAACATTTTCTGAAAATATAAAATGTGTTAATGTCATAGAAAAGGTAAAGGTATTTCTTATTCAACAACACTTGGCAAAATGTTCATACAAACCTCCCCAGGCATATATTATTTTATCCATACATCAGTTATTAATGGAAAGTTTGTGCAAATTTTCTTGGAAAAAATATTCAATATAGGCCGATAAACTCTGAAAATAATTACTAACATTAATGTAAAATTACTAATTTACCCCTAGCTCTAAGAAACTGGTTAAGTAACGATCTGATTTTACCCATATTTACCTCTCCAACAGCATCAGCGCTATATAATGCAAAACTCATTGCTTCTTTGTTTTGAATTCTTTCTAATGTTAGGGCACGAAGCATGTCTTCAAATTCACCTCTTTGTGTATCAGTTAGTGTTCGTTCAGTAGGGTGATAGACCTAGGCTTTTCAAAAGCTTCAATTAGTTCCATAAGTTCAACGGTTGGAAACATCTGAACAGAATGTAACATTATAGAAACAATTGGAATTTGGTGAAAAATACATAGAATTTATCATACAAAAATATATCAAAGATTAGTAGATTAGTATTACCTCAAAAAGTAAATGCAACATAACATGTCATTTAACAACAAATGATAAGAAAAAAGAAGTAAACCTCTTGTGTTGGCAATCAAAACTCATCAGGTTGTTCTTTGATGTTAAGTTGTAGTTCATCTTGCCCCTCTTGTTGTATTCTCTTATTTGCTGCATCTATAGCTCTAGATTTAAGTCTGAGGATCATGATCATCAGAATCAGAATCCAATTCCACATCTGAATCTTACCCCTTAACTGTAAACGAATAAAACCAACCCAAAAAGAAAACTAAGAACACTGGGATCGATATATAACAACTTCAAATTGCTTAGTATATATGATTTGAACAATGGAACATAACATATTAAAGTGAAATATTGTTTTTTTTTTCAAAATTCAAGAATGTCCTTAATGTATTAAGGTGTTGTTTGTTGTTTACTTAACTGACTTAGTGTAATTATTTTTAAATTTTAAGAATTTAGGAAGTTGTGTGTATCTAAATTTAATGTCCAACTGAAGGTGAGTTTATTTTTCTGACCTAATGGAAGAACAGATTGGCAAAATGAGAACAAATTACTGAAAGAATCTGGCACTAATCACTAAGACAGAGTGTAGAAATAATACAACACAAATTTTAGTAAATGGTAATGGTACCTGGTAAATCTTTCCAGTGGTTATGTTGTTATCTCTAGTAAGCCTCACGTCTAAGAAGAGTTCATAGTTACCCAAATCTAGGTCGACCTATCAAAATATCATATGGAAAGAGATTAATATCATCATCATAATCAATATTTTTAAAGCAAGTGAGAGCAAGTAGCACCTCTCCACCATCGTCAAGAACAAAAACCTCCCCATGTTCAAAGGGAGACATTGTACCAGCATCTGTTCAAGTATGGATCTGCAATCAATAGGTATAACTAAACCAATTAAATTCACACACCAACTCGACCTGTAAGCCACTCAAAAAACAAAAGTAGGAGGTATGTGGTGTGGTGTGGTGTGTATATAAAATTAGCAAACGAACAAGCATGCAATTTGATTAAACACATAGGAATAAAATTTAATGGGAATTAAAATTAATGCAACAAATTTACCATGTTTTCGTGGATTTCGGATCATCTCCATCATCGGAGTGTAGATATTTGTGTACATAATTCGGCTTCCTTTCAGAGAAGATTGAATCTGCGGCAGCAGATTCATGAGCTTCTGATTGTAGACTCGAGCATCGGTGTTCTGATCTGTCAAACATGTTCTCGAAAATCTGGATAACATTTGAATCGGTAAACACCCCATCGAAGGTAGCCCTGAAACCACCATTGTTAGACATCCGATCTTGTACAGCTCTAATCAACCACCAACACAAAATCAAACAAACTATTTAAATAAATACATAGAGAGAGAGGGAGCAATAGAGAAAGAGAGAGAGAGAGAGAGAGAGAGAGAGAGAGTTACATTGATGAAATTCTGAAGCTTATTCAATATATAATCCTGGTAATCATCCATGGAGAAATCGTCTCTTCTAGAAGGCAGATCGTAGTAGCTAATCGTGAAATCATTTGTTCCAGCACTAATTGTCACCAACGCCCCCCTCAATTTTGATCCCCACAACTTTCTTCAATCTCTTTATATACTCCTTAAAGTAATACAACTGCTTCGTCACATGAATCACCTGTGAAATCTGAGCCGTCATGTAATCGTAACCCGATCCGGCGGAAGCGAAGTTTACTCCGGTGCGGATATCAAAATCGGAGATATTAAGCTGCAGGAATGGACGAACGGTTTGGTTTATTCCCTGCAGAGACGCCTAAAAGTTCGACACCTGTTTGCCGTTTGAAAACCGGCCAATGGGGATTTTTCCATGAAAGTCTTCCCCATATGGGGGATGGTCGGCTTTCAATAGGGTATTTATGTAATTGTTGTTGCCGGAATCTGTAGTGGAGTCGCCAAAAATGAGGACGACAGAGAATAGATAGGTTATGTTCTGACTGGAAAGGGCGGTGGAGACTTTGAGAAGTAAGGCGAAGATGAACACGACGAAAGCCATAGAATTAGTGATGGAGGGGACACTCTAGGGTTAGGGCTTGCAGTTAATAGTGTCTGATGGTGGCAGCGAGATAGAGTTACGGTTTCTAGGTAGAAGCGGGTTTCTAGGTAGAAGCGGGTCTGCAGACGATGATTGAAGGTAACGACAATGTCTTCAGGGTGGCGATAGCAACAACTATAGGAGGGTGGTGTTAATGGAAGCCTATTAGATATTGAAGAAAGTGAGGAGGTAGACGGAATAGATTTGGAGGAAGCTTTTGGAAGAAACGATGGTTGATAGTGTCTAGAGGGTATTAGGGTTTTCCACGAGAAGCTACGACCATACATTACAATGATACGTGCGTGTATACGTACATTGTAAGCTTAATAGATTGTACATAGTGTTATAAAATGTATACCTCTTAAGTTTCAAGAAATGTGTAATATCATTAATAATATAGTAAATATATATATATATATATATATATATATATATATATATATATATATATATATATACTTTCTTTGTAAGGTCGTGTCACTTGGATATTGACAATAATTTTTGAAACAAAAGGGGATAAATAAAATGGTATATATATGCAAGGAATGCAAAAATAAATTTTGTTCAAATTGGGGAACGTTTATGAGGATTGTAAGTATTTATAATCATTTAGACACAATTATATGCATTGAGGCAAGGCATAAATGGTGAGTTCAATTCAGATTGCTTTGTAAGATATTGGTGAGCAAAGTTTTGATGAGATGCATTAAAAATAATAAGTTTTGCTTGGGGACAAGCAAAAGGCAAGTGTAAGATATATTGATATTTGCTAATATTAGTTATATATTCTAAGCAACATTTTAATACATTTAGCTAAATTTGGGTTATTTATTAAGGTATTTGGTACTTATTACATGTGAAATCTATTTTGTAGCTAAAACGACATTCTAAAGAAAAATGAGCAAAAATGGATAGTTGGAAACAAAGGACTTGAAGAATTCATGAAGAGAAGAAACCGTGAAGAAAAATGAATGCCACATCGTGGGCTTATCTTTGCCACAACGTGGTGACGTGTCGGTCACACCCCGATCGACAACGGAAACGTCGGGTAGCAATGTCAAAGTTGGATCGTAGTTAACACACACACACACACACACACACACACACACACACACACACACACACACATATATATATATATATATATATATATATTGAACATTACATTGTTCAAATCCGAAAATGCAACATTTAAAGAACAAGTTCAGCAATCGTAAGTTAACATAAAACAAGGCTTGAATAGGTTGGCATGTAATGAAAGACAACGATATATAGCTTATTCCATACGTCACGAGGCTTGTTCTGCAACACTTAATTTCCTGAGAATTCATGTGTTTAAAGATACGTCAACAAAGTTGTTAGCGGGTTCCACATTTTTTTGACACTGTGTACTTTAATAAACAAAGAAGTTTTTAGATCAAAAATAACATTTATAAAAGCAATGCTTTTCAAATTAAAAGTATAAAAGTGAATCATTCGCAGGCTTGTAATCCAATACAAGTAAAAAATGTTATTTTGTGTAAACGACTTATTGATTATAAATTTAATAATTAGAAAGAGACGTGAAAAAACTTCCGTAAGTTTATCGATTTAATTATGCAATTCACACTTATCCCATTCTGAATAAAACAAACCTACTACATATTGTTCTATTTCAACTCGTATGACTGACCAGAGTGTATATAAGTAGTTCAATTTTATGAGTACATTTTTAGAGTGAACATTCGGATCTGTAATGAGCCTATAACCGAACTACGGGCGAGAATTCCTCCTAAATAGCACCAAAAGAAGGTTTCAAGAACATCACTAACGCTTCATCGACGTCGTGAAATGTATAGACAATGACCCATTAAGCTCGTTTGACTCGTTAGACGTAGGTTGTAGCTAGAAATCATGGGCGGGGCTGTCAACCTATACAGTTCTTTGTTCCTTGTGGATTAATGATTATAGCACAAAAAGATTTTGCTACGGTGTCTTAGCGGATGAAGAGTATAACTCATATAGGGGTTCCTGTGTTTAATCAATCTAAAACATTTTTGTTAGTTTAAATTCTGAACTTTTAATTTAAAAGTTTATTAAACTAATATTTCTTCAGTTCGTGTTGAACGAGAGATCTCTGTCCTAAGTCCTAAATTATAAAATTTTCCAAACCGAGCATTTCAAAAGTGATACAAGTTTTTCTGAGAAAAATCAGGTATCATAACGACTGTGTGTTGTCCAAAATTAAATTTATACCAATGTTAAATCAACCAAAATTAAACAATTTAAACATGTATAGACAGAACAATTTAAACTTGTACAAATAGAGAAATTTGAACTTGTATGCTTAGAGCAATTTACACGTGTACATAAACAAAGAAAATATTATAATGAATATATATATATATATATATATATATATATATATATATATATATATATATATATATATCTTTACTATCTTATAAAAGAAATCTAACTATTTCTAAAAATAGATTGATTATAATAATAATATTTTTTTAAGACGTCCAAATGATGAAGCTGATAGTACCACTAGCCATTAATAAAATAATATTAAATTTTAACCATATTTTGAATTCAAATATTTATCATCAAATCTCCTTATATTTCTCAGCAATTTGATATGGTTCCCTCAAATCCCGGATTTATTCAAATTTTGAACCCTTTTCGATATCCTTAAATTTAGCATGTTAATTTAAATATCCCTCCAATCGCAGATACCTCTTTGTTCCCTCGTCTGCTATAAAGCCCACCGTCTAGGAATAAAAAATGACTTCATCTCCCAAATAACACCATAGTTTGATTATTTTGTCTTCGACATGTACTTTCTTTTGTAACATAACATTTTTGTAGAGGAAACATATCACCGAAAAAATTTACACACCCCGCCGCTTTGCGCGGGTACGCTGCTAGTATATATATATATATATAAATTAATTGTTTCTCGTCGTGAAATTTAGATTTATATGTAAGTATATTGCAATCATTTATGTAACAATTGACATGTAGATATGTATAACCATTTTTTGTGTATGTTTATAAATGTGTATACTTATTTATGTATAAATAAAAATATAAAACATCTACACCATTTTTATGTGATATATATATATATATATATATATATATATATATATATATATATATATATATATATATATATATATATATATATATATATATATATATATATATATATCACATAGTATTTATATTATATATCGTGATCTTTTGAGCAATAAAAAATGACATGTAAAGTTATGTAAATATTATGAGACATGAAATAATATAAATGTAAAGTAAATAGACATCATCTAAATGTAAATAAAGTAAATAAAAAAAATGAATGTACATAGGCGTATAGACGAAATAATCGTAAATGAATGCAAATTAAACGTGAATAATCGTAAGTGTAAAATTTGCATGTAAACTATCCCGAAAGCTTTAAAAAAGGTAAATGGGGCCGTAGAAGTCTCCCTAGTTGTGTGTGGCTAGATCGTTTCCATTTTCGATATATTTTTAGGTTTTACCAACTTTTGATCGGAGCAACTCTTGGGCTATCTAAGCACACACGATTGAAAACTAGTTAGAAACTTAGTAGGACACTTTTTACAGTAAATGGGTCACCAGAGTACACTCATCAGAGGTGCACGCGCTGCCGGCCATGGTGGTGCGTGACTGGCGGTTTGTTCCTATTTTGGGGCTGTTTTACGAAGGAAAAATAGACGAGAAGTCACCAAAGGTTGTTTTGTCGAAGCTAGGAGGGTCAACAGTGGTAGTCGGTGAGTTTTTCCTTCTGTTTCTCTCGGATTTCAAGCATCGATGGGCCTATTTTTCTTGATTGGGCAGCAATAGATACCGAAGGCAGGGACAAGGGGTGTTTACGCCTGCGTTTTTCGAATAAAGGAGGAGAAGGGAGCTAGAACGGATGATAGGGGCTATCAACCCTCTATTTTTTCCGATAAAGTAAAAACAATATATATATATATATATATATATATATATATATACAGAGAGAGAGAGAGAGAGAGAGAGAGAGAGAGTGATGAGAGTTTGAGGGAGAGTGATCGAGAACAAGAGAGAGTTTAGAGGGTGAGAGAATGAATGTGAGTGAGAGATAGAGGGATTGTGTATGAGTGAAAGAGTGATGTTTAATTGATTGTTTGTACAAGAATGATATTTGAGGGAGATATGATTGGTACTATAAGATCTAGAAGTATATACATGCATGTGCAAGTATATAAAGTTAGAAAAGGATTATGTGAGAGACACTTGCACATAAAAGAATGTTCAATTGGGTAGACACTTGCACATAAAAGAATCTATTTGGGTGCAATAGAATGCCAAAAATAAAGGAAAGGTTAAATCTAGACAACCCTCTGTTCATATGGTTGAATACAAGAAAAAAAAACTCCAATAACAAAGGAAAAGGCAAGAAACACAAGTTTAATGGACCTGCGAGATCTAACAACCAAAAAACCATTGAATTTGTGTGTTAGAGATGTCATCGAGTGGGTCAAAGGAAGCATGAGTGTCGTGTAAAACTAACTGATGGTATGGTGTAAGTAGGAATGGAAATGGAAGTGGAAATGGTTGACAAGGGTCGAAAGACCAAATTCTACCAAATGGAGGTTAGATGTTGACTAACTTTAATAATTATGTTACACATTATGTTTTTCCCATTGAAAAATGTTGTTTTGTATAGGATGATGATTGTGCATGGTGAATCAGATGGGTTTTGGCCATGAGAACATCTTATGTGCTCATGCAAACCCTAATGCTTGGAACTAGGTTTCTCTATTGTACATGCAATTCATCTAAGACTTTAAACCCTAGTTCTAGCATACAATTAATTATATTAACATAAGAATGGGGTTTAGATCTTACCTTGATTGTTATGTAGCAATAACAATCTCAAATCCTCCTTGTAATGACTTTAGAAAGCTTAGAGTCACAAGTGTCACTCCTCTAATGGCTCACAAACACCAAAAGTAAGAGGATGAAGAATAAGGAGAGAGGAGGCTGTCCAGAAACCCTAGTGGAACTGTTAGCCACGTTTTTGGGGCTTAAGGGTACTATATATACATACAGGCTATTAGAGTTTTCAACTAGGAAACCCTAATTGGACTGCTTAAGCCCTAAGCACCCCATGGACCCTTTTAGAATATCCCTTGTACGATTTCTAATGGGTTACCCCATAGAATTCGTCCAACCTATTATTCCAAGGTGATCCATAGCCCAAATGCAATTATCTTATAATTACAGTTCCAACCCCTTAATTTTAATT